AGACACAGCGGTCTTTCTCCTACTTCAGAGTATTGGATTAGACACAGAAATAGGGAAAATGGAAGAATTAGGTCAGGACATTGTCCACAGTTGCTTTTTCTCACAGCTGGAGATCTGCCATATTGGATATGTTCTAACTGCTAGAAACACAATGTTTGATTTAGGCAAGCGTGGCATCCTTTTGGGGTGTGCGGGAAGCTGGACACATAACATGACAACCTGTAAACAGATTGTCTCTACAACAATAACAAAAAACACAAGAAGACAGACACGCACACGGTTTGAGGGCTCAAATCGCTTAGAAAAGCGTATAGCTGTACAATAAATTCAGTTCAGTTGTATTTATGTAGCACCAAATCACAACAACAGTTGCCTCAAGGTGCTTATATTGTAAGGTAAAGACTCTACAATAATAGAAAGAAAACAGAGAAAACCCCAACAATCAGGTGACACCCTATGAGCAAGCTCTTTGGCGACAGTGGGGAGGAAAAACTCCCCTTTTAGCAGGAAGAAACCTCTGGCAGAGCCAGGTTCAGGGGAGGGGCGGCCATCTGCCGTGGTCGGTTCGGGGTGAGTCGAGAAAGACGGGACAAAGACAGACACAAATGCAGCTTTATGAGTGTTGAGTGTTTAGTTATGTTTCCATTACTTCCTTGGGATAATGTCCTTTCTCCATCACTCCTTGACTTTTGTCGTAGAGTATGTGGTAGAGTTTGAGGACCAACGTTCGAATGAGAGCGTCTGGAAAATGCTGGCCAGAGTTAGCGGAAACAAAGAACGTGCCGTTCTCTCCCTGTGGCCCTTCATGTCCTACCGTTTCCGGATCATTGCCATCAATGACGTGGGCAAGAGCGACCCTAGCAAACCATCTGGAATACACAACACACCTGCTGAAGGTAAAAGCCATGAATCTGTAGCTATATGTTTATGAACTGTCACAGTAAATCCCAAACAACACTAAACCATCTTGTTTGCCTATCCCAGCTCCAGATAATAACCCTCAAGATGTCAAGAGTGAGTCCATTGAACCGAACACTCTGGTCATCACCTGGAAGGTATATCTCTTACCTGAATGCACCATTTGGTCAAAGCGGTTACCGATAATATTTGAGAAATGGTCTTATTTGGCTGCTGCTCTCGTCTTTTACAGAAAATGAACAAAACTGAGGTCCACGGACCTGGCTTCACGTACTGTGTGCAGTGGAGACAAGCAGTGGGAGGTGGGCCCGACTGGCACGAGAGAAACGTAACAGAGCCGCCTTTCCGTGTTGACAATGTCGGGAACTTCTCTGCGTATGAGATTAAAGTTCAGGCTTTCAATGAGATAGGGAGGGGACCTGAGCCAGACCCAGTCATAGGCTACTCAGGAGAAGATGGTACTATATTTTTTAAAAAACGATTACTTTTTCAGCAGCACACTTTTCTTTTCCTGGGATTTCTTCTACTTGGCATTCTAACCCGTCTCCTTCCTGTCTGTCATTGGCGCTCAGTTCCTTTAGAGGCTCCGATGGATGTGGGTGTTGAAATAATAAACAGCACTACAATCAAAGTGACCTGGGCACCTATAGACAAAGAGACGGTCAGAGGACACCTGCTGGGATACAAGGTACTGCCCTAGTATCTCATCTGTTGTTTGGCCTGACGTATGCATGAATAATACATGAGTGGTTTTAAAGTGGAGGCAGACAGATCGTAGCTTCGTGGCGTCAGGGTACTTTGTAGTTTCAAGGTTGTAAAGCCCTTTCTCCCCCTCAAAATTTATCTCACACTCTAGAAATACTCCTTAACTTTCCTTTTATGTTGTTTTTTTATGATTCATGTTCTAGTAAATGCTCCGTCCCTGCTTTTAAAGTCTTAGAGAGCCAAATGAGAACATCAACAGAGTCATAATATAAATGTAATTAAATGCAATAAATGTTACAGTTTTCCTCATTTGCTTGGGCTCAGTTAATGAATGAGAGCTAAACCTGTCGAAACGATGAAGAGCATCATGAAAAGCATTTTGTTTTCTTTGTTAGGTCTTTCAAATGTTTCAGAACACTTAAACAATTGTCTCATCCCAGCTTTGTGTGTTTTGAGATTTAATTATTGTATATGTCCTTGTGTTCCAGATAGGTCACATTTCTATCATCCAGATAGTTTTTGCCTCCAAAATATGTTGGCATGTAAATCATCCGCGCAGAATACTCCATATAAATGTCCAAATCTGTTGGTGTAAGCCATGAGTATGAGTAATGGATAATATGTTTTTTTAAATTGATTGCAACAATGTTAGAGAGGAATAAGGATGTGTGGTGGTGAAGCAAGGAGAAGAAGTTTCAATACCTGTGGCCAACCATCCAAAGCAAAGGACAGAGTGCAGGCAGGGTGGAGTGTCAGGGTAATTTGTGACACAAGGATAGCAGCAAGTGTGAAAGGGAAGGTCTACAAGATGGCAGTGAGACCTGCTGTGATG